ATCCATCCCTCCATCCATCCCTCCATTCCTCCTCCTTCCATCCCTCCTTCCATCCCTCCCCCCTTCCATCCCTCCCTCTTTTCATCCATCCTCCACCTCTCCATCTCTCCCTACATCCCTCCCTCCTTCCATCCCTCCTTCCATCCCTCCCTCCATCCCTCCTTCCATCCCTCCCTCCATCCCTCCCCCCTTCCATCCCTCCCTCTTTTCATCCATCCTCCACCTCTCCATCTCTCCCTCCATCCATCCCTCTTTCCTTCCATCCACCATGGCGCACGGCATCGCTGAGGAGAACTCACCCCACGTTTATGAATGGGCCCTGGATTTGTGAATGGCGCATGGCATCGCTGAGAACTCACCGCACATTTATGAATGGGCACTGAAGCTGTGAATGGCGCATGGCATCGCTGAGAAGAATTCACTCCACATTTATGAGTGGGCCCTGGATTTGTGAACGGCGCGTGGCATCGCTGAGAACTCGTCACACATTTATGAATGGGCACTGAAGCTGTGAATGGCGTTTGGTATCGCTGAGAGCTCGCTCCACATTTATGAATGGGCGCTGAAGTTATGAATGGTGCGAGGCATCGCTGAGCAGAACAGAAGCACGACAGCACCGCTCTCCATTTTAGGAACAAAGTGCCCCCCCAAAAAACCCCACAGTGCTCCGAAATTCCAGAACAGACACTCAGAGAGGGGGAATCCGCCGCTCCAGATGGAATTTGGGGACATTCCTCTCCAAAGAGACATTGAGAAGAATCCATTCTTCTCCTGGAGACGATGGAACACAACTTGGGTCACTTTGGGAATCACTCTGCAATGGGTTGAAGTGAAGAGTTCGGGTTTTTGGGGGCCACACAACCATTGGAAGAGCTGATTCTGAAGGTACTGCAGAACCTCCCCCCCCCCCCCAAAAAATAATAATAATAATACAGAGAGCTGCAGCTCACCTGTAGAAATCAACGCAGCTTTAGAAACAGCCTTTAATTAAGCACGCTAATTAACAAACCGCGCGGTGGTCCCTTATAAAAGCATCCTTTGAGGGGTGTTTGTGGGGATCCTCACCCCGCAGTGCAATGTCTCCCACCGGAGGGATTCCCCCTCCGTTCCCACGGTCAGAAAACGAGCGCGGCCCCAACGTCTCAAATGGAGGAATCCACCGTGAAATGCCCATTGAGCGACAGCGACCCACGGTCAGCCCCGTTGGGTTTCACAGCCGTGGGGGTGTATTTGGGATTCCGATAGCAGATGGAGCAGAGGATCCTCCGGAAGGTGCTCCTCATCTCGTTGTCCCGATAGGAATAAACGATGGCGTTGATCAAGGAGTTGATCTCAGCCAACAGGAGGACGTATTTCTCCACGGCCAAAACGTTGCAGCTCTTACAACCCAACCCGTCCAACAGCAGCACCACCTGCCCGGGGGTCCAACAGATCAGGAAGGCACCTGCAGAGAGAGACGGACCCCCGTCCCCCGTTAGAGGAAAGGTGGGTTCCTGCCCCAACCCTGGGGCTTCCCTCGGGGTGTTGGGTGGAATCGAAGGGTTTTCAGTTCGGGGAAAAAGAGGTGAATGGGAAAGACGGCGTCAGGGTTCACCCAGGGACTCCTCGTAGGGGTGACTGATGGGATTGTGCTGTTTTAGGGTGGGGGAAAGGAGTGAAATGGGGAAACGTGGCCGTACCTGGGTACATCCAATAGGGGTGAGCAATGGGATCGCTGTGTTTTAGGGTGGGGGAAAAGTGAGATGGGGAAGATACGGCTTCCCGCCCTGCTCCCCATAGGGATATGGGGTGGAGTTGTGGAGTTTTAGGGTGGGGGAAAAGAGTGAAAGGGGGAAACATGGCTTCCTTAGATCTCTTCTCACCCCATAGATCTGTGGGTTCGTCCCTCAGCAGATCTCCTCCCTGCAACCCACAGGGGGATGGAGGGAGCACTGTAGTGACCCCCAACCCCTGAGAAAATGCTGTTGTGACCCCACAACTCCTGGGGGGAAAGCAGGGGGCACTGCAGTGACATGGGGACGTGGGGGGGGGGGGGGGGGTGCTGTAGTGACCCCGCAACCCCCAAGAGAAGGCTGTAGTTACACCACAATCCCTGGTGGGAAAGTAGGAGTTCTGTAGAGACCCCATAACTCCTGGAGGGAAGGAGAGAACACTGTAGTGACCCCCAGCCCCAGAAGGAGCTCTGTAGTGACCCCATAAC